GAACAACTCTTGGGCAAGGCTATGTGAAATACAATGGTAACGTCAGCTCTACCCATATCATTGTGAGAAATTCTACTACCATTCCTACATCACTTTAAGCGAAATAGGGTGAATATATCTTATATAACTGATTTACTGGTAGTCTCGAAACTCTACTTATATACGAAAAATAAGTAATGTAGTAGATTATTATAGCAAAAATACGTTTGCTTCATCGACAATCCTACCAAAGAATGTGATATGGAAAAAGGCATGGCTTTCCTTGAAATTATAATCTGCCCTGTGACCCATGGACAATCGTGGCAATGTGGCCGATTGGTTAACGCATCAAGTTCGCATGCCGCATGGTCACGATTCGACCTCCGCTGGGGGTGTTGATAAGACCTATGCGAGATCGAAACTGTAGTCCACTCTAAAAGAGAAGGCTCTGTGAAATTCCGTGGCAAGGTCAGCTATACTGACCTCTGCTCACTCTCTGATGCGGCTACTTCCCGAATTTATCCCAACCAACTTTTTCATCGAAATGAAAAGGAGACTCACGTTAAACTAATCAAGAGATTCTTAAAAAACAGCTTTTCCTAATATTCATGTATATATATATATAATTTAATTCGCTTTATCAAACGAAATAAAGGCTATGTAAGCATAAAGAAAAAATGAGAGCAACATGAAAAAAAACGCAATTGAATCTGTAGTTAGATTGGCAAAAATAATGCTTTGATAACAGTCTATGGTAGGTCTACGCATCGTAGAGCTTAAATGTATTGGCATGGTTAAACCGCCGAAGAATTTTATTGTAATGTCTCGAAAAGCTTCCTTAAGAATCTGGGGTCTTTATTGTCAAACGAAATGTAAAAAATTTCCCTCTTAAAAGAATGCCATACTTCAGCTAGGCTATGAAGTAAATAAATGTTGACAAACAAAAAATTATGGCAACACAATTCAAAGCTCGGTATTTATGGCACAATATATGAGATGAGTTCGTGGCTTGTAATGCACCAGAACGCTGCTTCGACTAATTTGACTAGACATAACTAGTTATCGAGATTATCAGTAATTAGAGAACGAGAATTTAGTCACCACATGTGAAGCACAGAGACAAATCTGAACCATTTAGCTGAATAAATGCTCGTGAAGCAAGCAGAAGCTGTTAATGATAAACAGGACTTAGGGACGACCTAAACACGTTTTAGTAAACAAGTTTAATCACCAATCAAAACGGATGGCTTTGATGAAAGAATTGCGCTGAACTACGTTATTAACTGCACGCTTCTAACAAAAATATAAACAAGAGACCGAATTGATTAAGATAAGTACAGTACAGACAGAGCGAGGGAGAAAGCATTGCACGCACAATCGGTCATGCATTTAAAACAATCCCTCTTCAAACGCATGGAGTATGCAGTCCGAATCATACAAGTCGGCTTCCTTATGGACCCTATTTTGGGCAACACTTAATTTTAAAAGTATGAATCAAAGCGATTTCGTAAACTCATCACATCGTTTAGATTTTAACTTGCAAAATGGCATCGCTTTACAGCTACAATTTTTGTCTCCATAATTTCCCTAATCTAGAGGAAATTATAAGTTATTGGTTTTTGGATTTGCTAGAAAAATTCTTTAATTCATGAAATACCAAATTTTCAAAGATTAGAATGTCATAGCTTTATTACAGGTAAAAAAACTACATATTAAAGAAGTTGTTTTAGGGCAGTTGAAAACAAGTAGTATTAATTTAAGGACTATCAGATATAGATTAAAGAATTCTTAGGAAGATAAACGCAATCATTGGAAAATGATCAACATCAAGCTAAATCGAGCAAAAATGTTTTGGCTCACTTTGATTGGTTTACGTCAAACACTAGACCTGTAAACTTTCCGACTCGCTACATGAATGTGTATCAACCACTCTGCCTAGTCACTGCATGAAGGTTCAAATGATTATGCAAATCTTGTGGACAATCCAGCTGAATCGCAATCACGTTTAAACACCAACAGAAAGCGCCCATTTCGTTCAGATAAAATTCACTCAATCTGAAATCTAGGTTTTAATGGCCACAACCACAAACAAGAGTCCACGCCTTCTTATATATAACACATCTCTTTACCACCAACATTTTTAATGCAAAAGAGGAGTAAGGGACATCATTTCATATTTTATAAATAACCACTATCACATTTATGATTATCTCAGTCATTTTCGGTTTATAAAGGTTTCCAGGCTATTAGTAAATCTTGATTTACTTATTCGCCCTAAGTCGCTTAAGGTGATCTAAGGAGAGATAGGTGAATTTTCCCACAAGTGAGATGAGTAGGTCTTACAAAACAGTGAAGTACATTTAGCCTTGCATCCACAAAGACAATCTAATCGGATGTAGATTGCAATTTAGACCATGTCTAGATTTCATCCACACTCGGGTTTTGAATATCGTGGCAAAAACATGTTTGCTTGATATGTAATTTCACAATAAGTGTGATTTGGGAGAGGCATGGCCCGCCATGCATGTTATATTGTCCTGTGACCCACTAGCATCTGTGGCACACTATATCGAATCTCGTTGGGAGTGATAATGGAACTTAGGCCAGGTAGAAATACAGTCCACGCTGAATGAGATAGCCCATTGGCCGTGAGGCCTACTCAGCTCAATTGTCGGGAAACTTAACTATCATACCTTGAGGTTTAATCATCCCGTTTTGACCATGATCAGTAAGTCAGGTCAATTAGCTACCTCTAGATGTGGCCCCAGATTTCCTAGCGGTCTTGATCTACTGGGTCAAAATATTCCATCCATTATTTTACGTGTCGCCATATCCCTTAAACTTGGCATTATTAACAAAGAAATTATGCACATTTCAAGAAGAATGTTAGACAAAATAGATCCTAAAAATAATGCTACTCAAACTCAGTTTAATTTAAGCAGAATTTAATTTCTGTGGGTTTTAACGATTTTCTGATAGTTTAAATATTTATGTATTTGTAGTGAGTAGGTTTTCAAAACCATCAGTATATCTTTAGTGAGAACATAAGTCACCCTAGGTCGCATAAAGTGATGACGAACTTTCACAAAGTGAAATGAGTAGACCTCACGATGCCATTGAATTTCACTTAGGTATTCTCATGCAGGATGAACTGCCTGGATCTCAGCAGCAACCCCAACGGCCTAGCGGTAACATGCCGAAAATAAAATGGTGTACTAGTTGGTTTCAACCTCTGTTGGGAGAGCGAATGAAACACAAGTTCAGTTGAGTCAGAAGTAAGCCTAAGCGAAATTCAATCACGTAGGGCCTACTTATGTAATTAGGGAGAAATTACCTCATTCCTTCATCACCTTAAGCGAGCTAGGCTGACTAAAGTTCTTAAGAAAATATGCATAAAAAATTGAAGGGAACGCAATATTTTATGTTCTACTTCAATTCTGCTATGCGTCCGAAAAGCTAATTCTCATTAGTGGTCTGTAGCAAATCGGACCTACTGGAGTATCAACAGTATTTGTTAAGAGTTATAGGCGATATTTGCTTAATTTTATAAAGCCATTTCTTTTATTCAACGTGTTTAAAGACCTAGTTACTTCGTTCTTTGTCGTATAGTTTAACCATAGTCAACGGAACGATTGTTTCTGCTGTGACCACCATCAGCTTAGATCTATGGATAGTCATATACCTATAAATTCTAATTCATTTGGTAGGGAACAGCATTCATATGAAAACAACCATGAGAGGATACGATATTATAGAAGTCTGATTGAGATTTAAATCCCTTCCTTCTATAAAAGGTAACGCCACTGTGGAAAATTGTGATGCCCTTATAAACCTAGTCCGATCGTCATTTTATGAGAGATAGAAGGATGATGAGGTAAAAGCAAAGAAAAATTCTAACTTTCCTCTATTTCCTTCATATTCTAAGTATATTGTTGGGATAATTAATAATCAACTATTTATTACGAGGGTTTGAGGATTTCTATTCCAGAGTAAAACGATTTGGTTTGCACTATGACCTTCTCTTGCCGAGGAGTACAGAGTAAACGGAAACTATCACTTTTTAGATCTAGGCCTATTGCTAAAATAAAATTATGATAAAAACGTATGCTCAAAAGTTTCGCATGCGAAGCAAATCCTGGTCGATTGCGCAGTAAAATGGTGACAAGACTGTAAAATGTTCATATATTGAAGTGTACATTGCTTTATGAAATAGTTAGTTAAATAGCTGTGCAAAATTAGTTTAGGAGAGCTTAAAATGTCGATTAGGATGAAAAAGAAATGAAAGCTCATTCATAATTCATTCTTGCTATTTCCGTGAAAAACAATGTTGAAAACTTTCATTGGAGCCTTATCAACTCTAAAAGGGCTCACATAAGACTATGCGACCATAATGAGATCGTCGATTCTAAATAATTTTCAAGACAACCTATCATGGAGTGCTTTTTTAAAGTGCGCTTACAAAAGGGCAGATAAAGAAACGGAGTTTAGATATATTTAAGAATAGCATAACTAAAGAAAGCATAGTAAATATTGATTTTATAAAAATCTTCAGGAAAATTGCTCTGGAATCGGATATCCAATTTAATTTGTATATTAATCGAGTCATTGGTGAAATATAACTCACATCGGACTTATCTCAACTAAGAATCTAGTAAACCCAATTTCCGGAAGAATAGTCTGAATTTTTGTGAAGGTCAAAACTCAAAGTGTACGATACTAGTGAGTTCCAACCGAGCAAAGATTCGCAACTCGAAATAAAGGTAAATATATACATAAGGGAGTGAAAGAAGTATAGCCATAGGCAACTAACCTGGCTCATCAGGTTCCGACTTCTGCCTGGAGGTCAGTTCTTCGTGAAGCTGAAAATATCAGAGATGGTTGGTTATAAAATATGGTAAAAAAATGTTAATTAGAGGAAGCACCATTATAACTTACTGGTTCATAAAGGCCCCTGTCTAATAAAGCAGGGATGAGAAAATCAGGTATATGAGGCCGAGGGTGAGAGAGGGGCGTTTTTACATAAGTCAGAGAATTCGGCCAATGTCCAGAGGAGAGTTTTTGTTTGCAATATTCAGAAATCTCTAGCCCCAAATCTGGGTTTGTCAAAGGAAGACGAGCTGACAGCGTAGGGTCATGTTTCCTGCGAAATGCGAGCAGGCGCCACTTGGTTGCTAATCGCAGAGTTAGGTAAAATAGTCTTTGATCGTTTTTCTGAAAGTTAAATGAAAAAATAGATAAAATAACAAGCCTACATTGCGAAATAAAGTTTAACACTTATATGGAATTGTAGTAAGGATAATAAAACCTAAAGAATTTCAACATTAATCATTTTCAATGATGTACATAAAGTACATTATGTACAGGTAAACATATAGGCAACATAAGGAAATATTTAAGTCATTTTTAAAATTGCAGAGTAAGAAAACTTAATTTCTTCGAAGGAAGAGACAAGGAGTCGAAAAATTACTGAGAAAGGTAAAAGCGGCTTAGGAAAAACAGAGAATAAGTTAAGTTGATAAAATATGAGAGAATGTGATGGCAACGCGCCTTGATGCTTAGACTCAAGGTATAATAGTGCTCTACAATCTTTAAGGCAGTGTCTTCAAGTGTCTTGATGACAGCGAGTGGACGGGCAGAATACCACTTAAATTCTTCTAACGCACGAAATTAAACAGATTTAAATGGTAGCTATGGTTAGGTAAGATTGCTAATGAGCCAGAGGATTATAGAAATGAAATTTCTTCGACATCGAATAGAGACGAAAATGCCGAGTTGGTGTAATGAATTGTCTAAGATGGAGTCATCAGACCGGTCCCAGATCTTGATTCAATAGAGAGATCTTACAAATCCAGAAGTGAATTGAGAAATAGAAAGATATGAAGCCATAAACTGAAATGTCAATCGCCAGACTAGAACAATTTTTTTGTGAAATCTAAAAAGTTAGTGGTATTTAGCTGTAAAACGAAGACAAATCTGCCTAAAATCATGGCTATTGGAACATGAAATCGCAATTAAGTAGAGAAAAAACCTCCCTAAAGCCTACCCAAATTTCACAGCAAATAAGACTTTGACGCCTGGCACGCAGGCCAAGCCCGGCTGCAAGGAAAGCGGCTAGTGATTGGCATCTTTGCGATTCCTGGTGCTTGGTCACCATCTCTAACTCCCGGACTCGTTTTGCTCGTCTGCCAGTCAAATAGCGACGCCAGGCAGCCCAAATTCGCGCCTGCAGACAGAGAGCCCAACGACACACAGCCAGTCGGGAGAGATCAGCGATTCGAACACGATACAGGATAGCCTCACGCCAAACGGTCCAGGTTGATGCCTAAAGTTGACCAGAAAAAAGATCTGAATAGTAGAAAAGTAAACAAAGGTAATTATATAGGAGTGAAGACCAAGATGATGTAGGCCTATAGCATGATAGGGGTCTACTTTTGTTGTGTAGAAATTGTTTGACCTTGCTTTTGCAACTTATTCCTATTGTCAGGGCGACCAGAAGGAAATCACCATGACCAGATTACATGATTCCAAGATGCTTTAAGGCGTCGGACCGTGGACTTGATACATTGCAAAACGTTTTGCCGACATCGTCAGTGAGCATTGTCATTCTTATCACTACAATACAACTCGCCAATGAGACAAGTAATGTAGATCCTTTGGCCAACTCAATTAATATTCTCGTATCCCGCCTTCACTATCACAATCTCTTACTTGCTTATTTAAACCTAGTTCAGGAGTGCCCCTATGAGCGGTTATAAATATCATCCAACTGTTCAACAGACAATTGGTCAAATGGTCGACTTCAGTTGTCTCTTTGATGAGTTATAGTGTGGTGTCAAGAAACCATGGACTCCGGACAATGCTTCGGATAACAATACAAGTAAGTTGAGAGAACAGGGTCAAACCACTTCTATACAAGAGAACACCGCGACCACACTAAAAGCCACATTATCTTGGTCTTCAGACTTTCGAGTTAACTATAGAAGTAAAATATGAAGAGAAAGATGTTGTGGCTTCTATTTCGGCCAGTTTAATTTTGATGTATAGAAGTGGTCTGACCTCGTTTACGCAATTTGGTCGTATTTTCAGGGGGACTTGGTTAAACACAACTTGTCCGAAGTCCTTTAATATACTAGTTATCATAATTCCCAGCGTCGGATCGTGCATCTAAGTCGCTCTCAACACGACAAAGTCGCGAAGAAAATGTTAGACCATTTCTATAGAAGATTGTCAAACAATGCACCGATTACAGCCGAACAAAGTAGACAATTGTAAGGCAATCATGCCATTCGACATTCTTGAATCATTGCAAATATTATGGTATCATTCCTAGGTTGTGCAACCTAGTGAGAAAGTGTCATTCGGACAGAGTTAATGAAATACTTTATTATACCTCCATCAGGTATTAGAGGAAACGAGATAGAGAAGGGTAAGCTAATTAAATTTATAGACTCAGGCAGTATCTAAGCAAGACTCTCCTTCCGGAGGATTTTTAAAAACTCCAGAGTATGATAGACCATAAGTCATAAAGTAATTAGGAGGAATTACAAGAAATTGTTTAGATAAAAGATAATAAGATTGTGCAGGATCCAGCCAACCCAATCAAATCATGATATCTCTGTATCGATAACATGCACTGTTCCAAACTAAGATAGGGATAAGGTACCTAACTTAACCTCAGATTATCTTGATCCCGAAACCATGGGTCTCCCGAAGGTGTTAAATTTTTCCATAGGTAACGAATGAAACTGTTTAGAAGATATTATATTAAGGGTTGTGAATATCTTGGCTAAATATCCAGAAGAGAGCCAACTGGATATGGAAATTCAAATAATAACGATAATCCTGGCATATCAAGAGCCAAAAACAAGAGCGGATTGACGAGGACAAAGAAAATTGTAAAAGAACGACCAAAGAGACATTGAGGCGGATAAGGGAAAAGCGATGGTAATAGGCAGAATGTAGTTGTAATAGACCGAAAACAATATATGGAGAAACTAGAGAGTATACTAGGCGACCAAAGCACTTACCAAATACTAAGAAAGGATCTAACCATGAAGATCCGTGGGATAATGAACAATATTCCAAAGGAAAGGCATAACGAGGGAGAAATCGGCAGATGGATGACGAATTCCTTAATAAAAAAATGACGCAAGACTACACAGCCTACACAAAGCAAAACCATCAAGCGTGGAGCGACACACAAACTAGCGAAATTCATATGCTTGAAGCCCAAGAAAGTAAACCACGGGCTCCTAAACACCATGAAGAACTCATATAAATTTTCTCAAAGGATCCAAAATATTTTACTGGCAGGGACGTACAATCGACGTACACAAACATCCATGCTGGAGACATTTGAACGAGAAGAGGATATCCTGGAGGCAGAGAAAATACGGAATAAATAGTTAAAACTATAGATCAACCTGACAGTAAAGACAACTTATTTTACATTTAATGACAATATCTATGAGGAAATATTTGTACTACCTATTTTGAAAAGTGTATTTATGAACAAATTGGAGAAGGAATTCGAGATGCAAATGATGCAGCCAAGAGTGTTCATGCCATACCTGGATGACTACCTTGCACTTTAGTCGCATGGCAATAAAAATCTATAATATGAGATGAATTCACCCTATTTCGTTTGTACGGTGATGAAGGACTGGTAGTAGAATTTTCCTACAATGATATGAGTGGAGGCGACGTTTCCATTCAAGTTCACATAGCCTTGCTGTCCCAAAAGTTTTTCTTATCCCAGCTGGAGTGGACTGTAGTTTCGACCTCGCCTCAATCTTATCAACACCCCCAGCGGGATTCGAACCGTAACAGCGTAGAATGGGAGTTTGACACGTTAACCACTCGACCGCATTGCCACGAAAGCCCTTGCGTAATAGGGAAGATGTGAATTTCAAAAAAGGCCAGGCTTTTTGCCATATCATATTCTTTGATGGGATTGTCGATGAAGCAAACTTATATTTGTTATAGCAATGTCGAAACTACTCAATTACGAAAAATAAAAATCTAGATGAATTTCTCAACTTCATAGACCAAATTTATGAAATAATTAGATTCACAATTGAGGTGGGTGAGGATGAGCGACTCCAACGGGACAATCAATGAGAGACTATTGGGAAAGAAATCTTATGCGGGAATAAGCCTCAATTTACAGTTACATCACAACTATGGATTGAAGATCGGAATGATAAGTAGTTTAATCCTCAAAAGGTTAAGGTTAAGAAAGATGGAGTTCTGGGACGAAGAGATGAACAAAGTGACTCGAATTTTTCTTCGTAGCGGGTACCACAGAGGAATCGTACAAAGAAAGATGGGGTCATAAAAAGAAGATGGCATCTCGGATATAATATAAATTTTTAAAAAAAGAATCAGGACTATCATAAGTATATTTGCCTGCCCTACTATCAACTGAGGTAAAAATAGGACCGTTTCTAAGACAATGGAATATCCAAGTGATCAAGACAGAAAATACAACATTATTCACTAGTTTGCCGACGCAACACGAGAAGATTTACTAGTTGGATGGTTCTAAAGTGTATCGTATAAAATGCGGCAAAGACGAGCAGACGTATATTGGTGATACAAGAAGAAAAATCATCCAACGAATCAGGGAACATCAAAGACTCAACATACGCATGGATATG